GCTTCCGGGTACTTTACGCGTTAAGTATGCTTGATATGTACATACTAAAACTATCCCAGTATTGTACGTCCACCATAACGCCATGTTYTAGTCCGCGTATGTTGCATTGAATTTACACTGGAGAAAYGCCTCGTTTGACACGTCYGAGTASAGTATTTCCTTGAGTTGTCCAGTAGTTGCGATGATAACTGTGCATATTAAGATTTCAATGCTTACTAAGACAGCAATAAACAGCAGCATCCAGTAGTCGCCTAAACARGGCGGRGTTCCTGAGAAAAGACAATCATTAACATTTGAGACTCTGGACGAATGAATGAGTGATTGACATGYCCTGAGGTGTGACTAACCTAGCCTGCGTAATGAGGCCGTTCCTAGTTTCGAAGCGCGAAACGAAAGCCCGMCTACGAGGAGTGGACTATGTTTAACCTKTGATTGACAGATTGAATGACGCAGTAAGTGTCAAATARTGTTTCATCTTACCGTTTCGCATCGCCTTCTTGCTGAATATCCGATGAATGCGGTTCGTCTTGGTCAGCAGTGTCCCCACAACAGTACTAAAGCTGATGCTAAATAAATACAAAACTGTYCGACACAGGGACTCCGTCTTATCAACAAACAACAGAAATGACGTCACGTATCCTAGAAATATCCCAAACAACATAATGTTACTAAGCAACCTGCTTGACGATCGGACAAGATGGGTGTCACTAAACCATGCYAARACTATAGCAACGGCAATCACTGTCAGYGAGCCGAGRGGCGCTACTATGGCAACCACGATGCCRGGGGGTTCCKTGAATGAGACTGASGTTGGTACTATCGGGTGACATTTTGTGTGGTTGTCGTTYGGCCAMTGACGYGATGGACATCGTAAGCAAGATGTGTTCGCGGGATCATGGGAGATGTAGTTACGAGTACACGGGACACACTTCCAGCAGCACACCTTTAGACAAAASAAAATGGTAAAAATACCAAATATGGTCCTTTTAATTATGACGTCACGTTTGCTTTGGCYAAATGCATCGTTGTAARTATTGCAATTCTAAGATGGCGGATTTCTCATGATATTCAAAGGAGGACGAAAATCATCAAACAACGCCAAAGGTGATAAGTGGTGCATYTATGACGMCAACTTTTYACTAAATCGGCATAAGTAAATTATAATTAATCRTACCTGATGGTCTTTCTCTACTAACATRCGATATCCCGGATGACAAGGACTTCCGCAAACAGACGTCGGGATCCCTGTGTCATTATACAAAACGCTCCAAACATTCTTAAGAACTTGCAAATCGACGTCCAAACGACGAGATGCGTTTCCAAGTTCATATGCACCAGAATTGTTTTTCGTCCATTTTCCAAATTTCATCCATTTGTCGGTCAGCGGATTAACGATGTTGACGTCATAAGTCCCTGTGCTGTCGCCGTATTTGTCAAACGTCACTGGATCACGTGTCAAACCTTTGAATCTGACCGCGTGGAGGCTTTTGAGGAATGCTTCACCATTTCTGAGAAAATTAGTTACATTAATTAGAATTTAAATGATAAACATATATTTGAAATTYAGCGGAATCTCCACGAAAACCGTTGTATCTCCATCTTGCATATTCATTGTTGAATGCCTTATCGAACAAGGAAACAAGCCTCAACAGTTGACTGAGCTTGGTATAGTGGACTGGTAATCACATAAAGAATGAACTAGAATTCCAAGTGAACGGAAMAGTCTCCTTCACGGTTACCTGCGCCATGTTGAAAGGTAGCCGTGCCTTTGCATCGAAGCGAGACAACCGTTGAGCGTGTAATGATAGAAACCTGTAAATAATTGTCTGTAGGRGTGAAAGAAGGTTTCTATCATTGCACGCTCAACGATCGTCTCGCTTCGATCGATGCAAAGGCACGGCTACCTTTCAAGATGGCGCAGGTAACCGTGAAGGAGACTATTATGCGGAATCAATGTACTACTCAATTAATAACAGTTCCTAGCGCCATCTTGAAAGGTAACGGAACCTTTACAAAGCGAGACAGCAGTTGAATCTGCAATCATAGATACCTGTGATAATCGCGTTAGGAAACTGTATCTATCACTGCAGGCTCAACCGCTTTCTTGTTGTGATTCAATACATTCAAAGGGATCACCTATCTTTCAAGATGGAGCTTGGAACTGTTACTGAATAAAAACTCAAATCTTATGAGTTCAATGATAAGCAAGATTGATGGATGCAGCTAAGTAAACAAGATGTTAATTTTCTATAATGAACATTTATGTTCATATTAACTCCTTGATAGCAACATTTACATCACGCGAATGTGATAACTCGTGAGTAGCCTAAAATAACTCGGTTGTTTGTTGAAGCTGTAGCTGTACTCCCAGCTGTATTTACATCTTGTTGACTCGTGATTCAACTCTCAATAACTCGAAATACCACTGCAAACAATAATAACTTAAGAACCCAAATATAAAATTTGAGTTGTCAATCAATTTCAGTAAGGTCGCCATCATTAGTAATGTCGGCAATCACGGGAGAACTAATTTTTRAATTATATAATTATATTAACAATATGATGGTTCCTCGCGCTTCGATGCACAGGCTCGGCTATACCTTTTTAAGATAACGGCGAAAAACTTAACAACGTATATACCTTGCAGCATTGGAATAGTGAATATTTCATGAATTGCACAATGAATTATATTTTATATTTTACCTGTTTAGCTGTCGAAACTGTTCAGGTTTCACTTTGCAGTTGTTTTGACTGCAGCCAAGCATTGTATGTAACGCATGCGCAATAGCATACACAGCATCAACTACATACGGGACATACAGGGAATGATCAAATTTTGCTGTCAAGTTCTTCACGTTTCGCATTTCTTCGTATTCCTCTTGCCACTTTGACTTCCCGAATGTTTCATTCAATYCAACGTCAAAATTATGAGAAATGTTGTGGATCGATGCATCGTCMACTGCGTGCGGAACTATGCCGATCACTCGCCGAAGCATTTCRGYAGAGCATTTGAARTGTCGAATTGAACCACTGTAGTAGTCTGCCGCAATGAAGATAAAATCCCTCATATTTTCAAGCATGAATTTGTRCAAAATWAGCTCAAAATCTTGTATTGTTGTAAAGAAAARTATTACTTTGGCTCGTGGTTCTCTTTTGATGGTATTAATGACTTTTTTTATATGTTCTTTGCTGGAATAAATGTTAAAAATCCCTTTTGACGCTTTGCAGATCTTGTTGTTAGTTTGCGCCAGWACGTATTCAAAYGTTTCCATCGCGGATCTTCCATAGTCAGTATCTGAGTATAATAAATGAATAATGTTCCATCCAAATTCAACTATCAAGTCGACAATTGCCTCAGAAAGCAATGCGTCTGAAGAKACAGTTCTAAAAAAGTACTTAAAACGAATTCTYTTGTTGAAGAGTCGACTGCTTGACGAATAGTCCACGACAGGAACGTGAAATAATCCAACTAAGTTGGTTACTGCAATYGCAATGTCACTAACACCAGGTCCTATAATGGCCACAGTGTCCGGCAACCTCTTAGCTCTCTCATTAAGTTTTCTGCTGGTGCAGATATTGGCTTTGATATTTCGCGCAATGAAACTGAAATCCAGTGAATTTCGTACAGCAAAYTCYACGCTGCTGCAGCTTTCTTTGATGTCGGCGCCGAGCGTGATACCAGGAAGAAGTTCCTTGTTGCTGTTAATCTTCTCAATGGCGTACATCATTGCTTTTGCTTCCTCGAACCCACGATAGTTGAACCTCCCTGAGCACTGCAAAGAATGGTTACTTGTCARGTTTGTAGATTCAAAATGAACAGGGAAAAGTCCACCAATMATGAATGTTCCGTTTTTGTAAACCCCTCGCGAAGCGCCGTTYTTTGAARCTGAGTCTTCATCTTTCGGGTCAAACATGAATTCAAAATGCGCCAAAATGTTTGGCAAAAGTAAAAACATTGAAAACGTCAAAATAGAAAAGRATCTTTTCCTTCCAAAGACTCCTCCAGGCATAGTGAAAACAAATCAGAAGATAACACGTTCTTGCTACTTTTCTCGACGCTTTAGTGAAAGAAATTTGACAAAAAAATAATTATGAACGTTCTTCACGGAGTTTTCTGGCTGCTATGTTTTTAAAACAATTCTMCCTTTTATGACTTCTTATGCGGAAGGTTTGACAACCAAGGACAGATGAACAAACACAGCTGAATTGTTTTCAATAAAATATGTGGAAATGCTTGGAAGAAACACTATTATTGACATTTAAGCGAACTCATGGTAAATACAAGCTTATTATCGTTGGCTTGCATACTCGATTGTGAATCGATTGAGCTTTTTATGACAGCTATCAAGTTGTTACAACTGCTATTGTTTTCAATACTCGACGTAAAGTTGATATAAAGGATTTCAATTGTCGTCGTGTGCGGGTAAAACCTAAAATCATAAAGCAATTTTCACGAAACKTCGGACAGTCGGAGTCAACAGAGGAAGCGCGCGTTTTTTATTAACTCGGGTTAGTATTATATTTGCTGATAAGTACGTAATATAAAGGCAGATTAAATGATAACTCAGAGTGCAAACACTAAAAACGCGAAAAGCACTATAACCAAATAGTGCTAAATATCTCAATATAGTGTAGATTAGACCATAGAAAACAAAGGAATTCGCGTAATTCAGTGCATTCTGGCGCTATTTGAGCTTATAAAGTTGTTTAGTATTTGCGCTCTAGTGCATACACTTAGTTTAAGTGAATAGGTTGTCCGCGCAGGAAGCATGACCGAAAGGTACTGTGGGTACTAAGCATTTTCAATAGATAAAATAGCTTTATGAAAAATGTTACGATGAGTATAGCAGATTTTTGGTGTCAATATTCATGGCAGGAAATAACACTGTTGCAATTAACGGAAGATCTTCAGATAATAGTTWATTTGGATTGCTCAACTGAGATGATTAGATGTTAGAATTAAGAAATATTAAATTTCATTTGCTGTCGATCGCTGTCATCTTCTTCTTTAATATCACTAATTTTTTAATGTCAGTTGAAATTGAGCAAGGTTTTTTGTGACGAAATGCCTTATGGGGCCTCTCGTCACTATGTCATCGTGTTGAGTGACCGAACCATAACCATCCACTTGTAGCAGGCGTTCCTTGTGAGTCCTTGATATTAAAGTTGAAAAGACAAAATCTATAGAGGAAAAAAACAACAACAGCAAAGAATGAAGAAGAAAGGAAAAAGAAGAAAAGAAAGAAGAAAAGAAAACAGGAAAAAGAAGAAAAGAAAACAGGAAACAAAAGAAAAAGAAACCGTAACAAAGAAAAAAAGAAAAATCCCAGCAGCAGGATTCGAACTCAGGACTTTCACTTCAGCAAAAGACGTACCCCCCCGGAATACATAAGAAATATTGAAAATAAAAAACTAAAAAGATGGGACGATTCCCCCGAGACATTCTATGAAGCTGAGGCGGCGAATCGGCTTACGTTACGGTTAGAGATTTCGGCCCTTCCACGCTATCCCGAGTGAACATAAAACTTAGTCTTAACCAAAAGGCCAGGGAGTGAGGGGGTAGCCGCCCACTAGAGCATACCTTTAGCTACCCTCTTAGACCATCGTACTATGAGGACACTTGTAGATATCTAAAGCTAATTGGGGTAGTCTATTCGGTGAAGTTCTATGCTAATATATGACGTCACCAAAATCCTTAGGGAGCAGCGAGCCAATCAGAGCTCAGCCAGGAATTTGAAAGCGATACAGGGTTTGCATAATCATTCTTCAGTGGATTTATTATTTGATGGGGGGTGGGGATGGGTGCTGAGTGCTGGTTTGCGGCTGAATACCGATGTACTCGATGAACTGTGACGCCTTTCATCGAGCTGTTCAATTGTTTATATTGTTTTCCAAATCATCACAGGAAAAGGTGTACATTTCTTATATCAGACGGACATCACCAGTATTCGGATGAACACCACGAAAAACATTTCTTGAAATTCTTAACGTAAGTGGTTTACAGAACAGAAGACAGCCGCTAGGCAGGCTAGAAGATACAAGTACTAGCTTTTGCCAAAGATTTGCCGGGATTGAGACCTCTGAAACTCGAACATTACACTCGAAAGTTCCACATTTTCGTTTAACACCGACTGTCGTCGTTAAAATCTCTTCGAGGGCATGATAGTGATTTGAATGAAGTGTTGTCTTTGTGATTATAAAACTTTACAAATGGGTTAATATTAATTATCTAATAATTATTAAATGTAAATATAGCGAATGTTAACAATTGAAGAGGATGAGTATAAAATTAATAAAGAATGGTAAATCAACAATCTTCGAGTTTTATTGCATGCAAAACTAAAATRATGCGAATTATAGTAAAAATACAGTTTGAATGATATAAACATTTTATCGAAGCCGTTCGCGTCGGAATTTGATCATGAGTTTATAAGTCAACAGATGCAGAAAGATGTCTTTGACTATAGAGCCAAATTAAAGCTCTAAGGAATCAATGTCGTGATAAAAATCCTTTTTTCAAATCTTTCAGATGGATATGTTTACTGTAGGCAGCAGGACAGGGCTCGCTACGTCAGGCCCTCACGGGAGGCGGGAATGATCACKTATCACAATAGGTTCCTTGTCCCCTGGGAATCACCGGCTCTTGTGTATTTATAGMCCACGTCCATTCCCTTGCAGCGTATACAGATAATTCAGAGAACGTTGTATACTGAAAATAGTYTATTCGAAGTTACTAAATCACTTGATGGCCTGAGTCATATACCGTCCTCGACTGCCTATTTTTTGTTTTTATTTTTTTTTTATTTTTACTCGCAATAAACAGCAAAAACAATACCTACAGCGTAGATAGAAAAGTTTTTGAATTCATACGCTGCAAAGCCATCTACAGASGTATCCCATGCTGCTCTGCTCACAAACCTCACATCTTGATTATTAATTTCCCCGATGATTGCGTGACATATATATTTGTAACGCGGATAACMCAATCTTTTAACTCGATCTTTGAGCTGATTGGATAAAACGACTGCCAAGTCTTTACWTAGATTTGGCTCATAGGTTTGATTTTCGAGGTTTTCTTCCAAAACCTCTTTGATGATTGCTCTAACCTTGAATTCCTGATGAAAATGAAATAGAAAGTGGCTGAAAGATAAATGGATTAACGTAAATTAGGGAACAAATCAATTCATACCTGAAAKGATTTGACGGGTTTCATAACATAAGGTCTGGCCATATTAACAAAAAAGTCGCTCGCACTTGTCTGTTCTCTTTCCATACGACTACTTGGGCTAACAGATCGACTATCGTCGTTCAATTCTTCKGGCGACCACACGTGCGCAAGCTCAAATTCTCCCCAATCCCCACGCTTCCTTCGTTGCACCATTAAATCCTTAGACTTGCCTTTGATGTCTTTTGAGAATTTTGTAGCGGCGACTATACCGTAAAACGTTGGAGGTGTACTTGTATTTTCATTGCTTTCTTCTGRTGTGGGCTCCGGTTCTTTTTGTTTTGGTTTGCTGAGAGGTTTGAGGATGGACTTTGGCGGTTTGAAATCGTCTTCTTTGATGGAAAAAAGACTAACTTTTCTCATCTTTGCGGCAAAACTTTACGCGGCAAAATCCTGTGAATTTTATAACTAATATTATTTTGAATAGAAGAAATGTAGAACGCCCGTTTTTTGCTCTGATTAAAACTGTGGTACCACTGTGCCTTTTTCGAGCGCACGAGCGCCAAATTGTCTAGCTGAACTCTCAGCCAAAGAAAGCGCGCTWTTACATATGAGAAAAATAGTCCGAATTAGACAGCACACTTTTTTGCCTACAACCATCGCATGCAAGCTAAATTAGTCATCTTTTTACAACATAGCTACAACTAACGCAGGGATAAAAACACTTCAACAGCCGTGGCCACGTCGTAAGGATGACTTACGCATGTCACATGCGATGGTTGTAGGCAAAAGTCGGCTTATGGGTCTTTATGTTTCTTCATCTGGTTCATGCAAACTAGTGCACTGACTACATAATGTTTATATGTACATAAAGCAAACAGCTTATGGTTAGAATCGCTCTTTCAAAGCTTACAATACAGGCATGCCTTTGTCTCTAGATCTCTTTTCTCTAGGGTCTTTTCTCTGACTTTTTTTTCATACATTCATAAATTCTGTTGCTGACTACACTGTGATTTGGGATTTCAATGTAGATACTTTTTCAAAGGCAATGAAAATAAACAGACAATTTCGTGTTTGAAAATGAAACACGAACTTCAGCCAAACTAAATAGGATTTTGATGTAGTGTCTCTAGTTTTTCAGTTCTAAAGGTTACAGTGAAATGAAGCTCAAAGCCTTACCTTATGATGGGGGTAGTTCTAGTGATGGGTGAGCTATTTTGTGCAAGGCGGAGTTAGAAAATATCTTGGCTCGTGTACGATGTTTTCATTTGTTTTCTTCGTGTTTTAGGTATGTAGCTTGTTAAGCTAATCCCTTCTGATCTATAAAAAGCTTCGGTTCTATTGTTATCCACAATCGTTTATTTATTTTTTCATTTGATCTGTCATAGCGTTGTGGCCTTTGTTATAAGCACTAGTGCCACTCTCTCACGGTCGTCACGGGCACCCTGTGGTTTGATTTCCAGTATTTTGCAACCAAACTACATGATTTTCCGGAAAAAAATGATTACTCAATTGTGTCCTATTACTCCTACAACTAATTCACTTTATTTTTAATTGGTAGTCGTCACATCAAAGACGATTTTTGCGTCTAATGTATTTGCTACATAGATCGGCGAACCGTGGAAGATTTCATGGCGTCTATCGTATGAACAACAGACCATGTCTTACCATAGGAGTAGRACGAGCATTTTGAGCTCAATTGATAAAGATTACATTGAAGAAGGAAGAGGAGACATTTACAAATGGGGTGAAACAAGATCTACAAAGCGTAGAGGCGTCAGTGGTTGGGCATACGCTTTTAAGAAACGATTCATTGATACAAGTGTGAGTGCTTTTAATCTTACGTGTCGAGTTTGTAGTTGCAATGAGATCTTGTCTGCTTGCTAAATAAGCCTAATCAAATTAAGAATATTTCCTCTATTATTGCAGATTTTAAGAAGTTTTTTGAACAATTTGACAGTCTCGCTGCTGATCCAGCTTATTTTATCAGGTAAGTTCAAATTTCAATCTTGAAGCGTCTTGATCCATCTAGAATTTCACTCAAAATTTTGAATTTGAACATCATAATTTTAACAATGTGTGTTTAATTAAAGAGTTCAAAGCTAAAGCTGCAGGATTTTTGCTCACATTGTTTTGAATATACAAGATAGCGGTCTTTTAATACTCATAATTTTAATCAATTTTAGGGTCAAACTTTTTTGCAGGTCTTTCTGGAATTACGTAATAAGTCACGTGGCTAAATAGAATTTAAATATTTCTTGTGTTTTGTCTTTTAAAGATTTTTCATTTGTATGATTTATTTTCGTGTGTGTTTTAGTTACAAACAAAAAACTCAACACCCACTCAARCCCACTTCAATCATTTGTTTTYAATAATTGATAAACATTAACAAAGATAACTTTTGTATTTTTAGTGGCTCATTTTAATCCTTGAACATATATTTGCTATAATATCTTAAATCCCTCTAGCTCTTTTATTGCATCTTATTCTTATCTTTGTTTTATCAACATATTTGGTCATTCATATTYGTACAATAATCATGGACAATATCATTAGAATTGTCCAGAAACAAAACATGGCATAACTGGTTTGACAACTCTTTAAGTATGAATGATGCTTGCTGCTTATTTTATATTATACAAAGAAAGTTAAGAATCTAAATCAACAGCATTTAATATATATSCTATGACATTTTAAAAGAAATTACCGTTCAGACATGTAGTTTGAATAAATAAGACTTGAAAAATTGACATCTAAAACTATTGTATATTTTGKCACATTTTTTAAAATTAAAACAAATCGAAGAACAAACATTCACACCAAAACTAATTAAGCCTGCCAATAGAATTTTTCATTGAAATTGTGTGGGTGAAGATTTTCCCTCATTTAATAAATTGGCTCATGACTAAGAAGTATACAATAAAATCCATAGACTTCTGGTATCAAATGTCAAAATTAACTCTTTGATGTTTGAGTTTAAAGATGAAAATTTAACTGGTTGTGAAAACCAAGCTATATTTTATACAAATCACAACAATTCTTTGAACAAGTTGACTGTTATATTGTTCTCTATTCTTATGAATTCTTTCTATTTGTAAATTTGATTTCTGTTTTTTTTAATCTCTCCAGGGCTTTTTACCTATACCTGCCAAACGTTAGGTAAGCTAAAAGCACATCTTTTTTTGCTTGCTGATAAGATTTGTATTACCAAATGATTGACTGATTGATTGATGAATTGAATGATTGGTTGGTTGATTGGCTTATTGGCTGATTAARAGGTTCATTAATAAGTTAATAATATTTCATATTTCAGATCTCTATATTGATGTCCATATTGCGTTATTTGTATCACCAATTATTTTCCCTTTAGCATTTTCAATCAATGGTATGTATTAATAATCTATTAATTCATTATCCGTTTCTATCACATTAATTCACTTTTCTTTCTTCTCAGCTGATTTTCAAAGAAGAGAACARGTATTGGAGGATTTAGCATTGTTCAAGGGAGGCCTTATTGTCTTGTTCTTCTGTCATAGAGATTGGCATGTCCCTTCAGGTAAACAACTTGATTTACAAAGAGATYAGATGCAGTACATAATGATAGCACAGCTTGTTGGCAGTGGGGGGTAGATTCATTCATAACAATGGAAGTCTTTTCAAAAGTATCAGGTTTTTATATATGTATAAAACAATTGCTGTTCACTATTCAAAGTGTTTTTTATGCCATGGTCATTCTGTTCTTCTTTGGTGACCCTAATCCTGAATATTCAAACAATAGCCAGAATGTGTTGATGAATAATATCTGTCAGACTAGGCAAATCAGTTACATGTAATAAACTAAAAAATTKTGTTGTTTACATTACTAGGTTTGTCTCAGGAATTTCTCAAAGCAGTCACAAATAAGCTCAAAGGTTTGATACTCAATGTCAAGGAGTATTTGCTAACAGAAAAGGAAGAAAGAAGAAGCTTTATTTTACAAGTAAGTTTCCTCAGGTCATAAACTTTGCTCTGGCTTTTTAAAACTAAGTATTTTTAAATAAAAAAGGTAAAAAAAGGTAATTTTAAATTTTAAAAGGTAATTTTGTGATTGTTTTTCACAGGTAATATATGAAGATTTTAGTGACATTAGTCAAATGAATGAAAAAATGCGAGTAGCTTTACCAGATAGTGCGTCCCTTGTACAAAGAGTTATTCACTGCCATAAGTAAGTTCATTGGTCAACAGGTCGATAATAATACTCTGTTTATGAATACCGCTTCACTACAAAAACCAGAAAGAGCAAAAGCAATAGCGACAACAGGAACAACGACAATAACAACAACATCGTAAATGGATAGTTCAGACATTGAATCAGACATTGTTATTGAATCTATCTTGTCATATATAATACGACAACTTTTGACCTTAAAACGTACATTTTTTCCCACAGTTTGATGTTCTGGGCCTTTGAAAGGCTTCGTGTAATCCGCGAATACCGTTCGCCGCGTGGAATTCGTTCTTTCACCAAAGTATTTATCTTCGTGATGCCGCTACTGTTATCGCCGTATTATGTGTTTGTTGGTAAATCTTCAGGGAACATTTGGGGCCCTTATTATATATCGTTGATATCGACGTTTGTATTTGGGACGTTACAAGGTGTGCAAGATGTGCTAGACGACCCCTTTGATGGGATCAGTGAAGATGACATCAACCTCGGAAGCGTAAGTAAAATACTTGAAACACCTGATTATTAATCTGTCAATCAATCAATCAATCTGTCAATCACTCACTCAGTCAATCAATCAATCAAACCAGCAATCAATCAATCAATTTATCAGTCAAGCAATCAATGAATCCAGTAATCAAGCAATCAGTTTATCAGTCAATCAATCCATCAATCAGCCAATCAATCCATCAATCAGCCAATCAATCTGTCAGTCAGTCAGTCAAATTATCATTCAATCCATCAATTAATCATTCAATTAATCTCCATCATATAAGGGTCTCCACAAATCCGTCCCTAAAATTATCGTTCTATTCGTAACAGCTCGAGGACTGGACAGCGCACTCTCTTCTAGTAAACCGAACCTACACCGTCGGCCGTTTCACTGTCACGGCGTCCGTTCCCCAAACCAAAGAAGAACCCAAGAAAGACACGGTAATAATCGAGACACGAAATCCTCCGAGTCGAAGTGTCTCCTTCAAGCATAGAGTTAACGTACCGATACGATCGATATTAAGGAGGGCGTCGCACCGTCCCGACATGCACATAGAGKGACCTGATACACTTAGCAATGTTTCTGAGGAAGATGTAGGGGCWTTGTTCCCTGAGATGGCTTTYAGACTAAGTTCKATGAAYGAGAAAGGATTGACTGGTAAAACAACTATTCTGCCTGGTTTTCATGTCAAGGAAGAGCAGCCAGACGATGACAGCAATGAGAATTCTACTCTAGGCTCCCCTACTGCGATACAAAGGAGCGTTTCAGACATGACAGAGTTAGGATCAAGAAGACTCGCTTATAGAACTAAAAARGTGTCRTTTTCTCGAGATTTAGACGACGATACASGGGACAATAGTCCTGAAAGGTTGTCGGAATCATCAATGAACGGGACAGACAGCCTTCCTTTGCTTCGTTATAAAACAGAGATTAGCCCAGCTAGTGAATCTCTTGAACCAGACCCRGATAAATTCTCTAAAGAGCTAATACAGTCCATGAAAAAGCTAGAAAACTCTTCAGGAACAAAGCGCGTCGCACAATGCGAGACWAAAAACTCTCAAAGTGACATCCCTGCTTCTTTGGCTTCTATTTTCCAAATGCCTCCAGCTTCCAAACAGGAACGAAAATCACCTGCGTTAAGAAGACCTTTCGAGCTAGAAAAACAAGATGAACGTAAAACTGAAGAAAAGTCTTCGCGTTTCTCTGTTAGTAAACCAGAAAATAATTTAAAAGACTCAACAAAAGATACTGTTACAATTTGCACAGAAGATAGTCGCGCGCCAAATTCATCACGATTTGCGGTTGCTACTCCTCAGTCTCCCAAGTCCGGGAGTCCTTCCCAGTCTACTGCAACAAGTCCAAGGCCTAGTAAAGTAAAAGTTCAACTGCCCGCAAAGAGATTTCAAGTAAAACCGGTAAGTTTTGGCTTCAGACAATAGGCCGTTTGCATTATGACGTAACTTTACTACAACTACCAGAGAGCCTTGCGCATTTTTATTGTTATTCAGATTTTTAATCCCCTTGGAGATTGATAAAACAATTGGCACCAATTGCATTACAAAAGAAAGTTTGCAAAGCATTCTGGTAGTTGTAGTAAATGACGCTATAATGCATATCGCCTATTGTGACAAGAAGGATATTTAGAGTTTTGTGATTTTGGTGATGAAAATTTACAGATTTATGTTTTTTTAAAGATTCCATCTGGAATGGCTGAAGACSACAAAGAACGAATTGGGAAMACCAATCTCGGGATGTCTGAGTCGTTAACATCATTTAATGAAGACACAACCCAAACAAAACATGAAATGGACCCAAAACAAGGTTCGCGGTTCTCCATTACCAAGCCTCCCGGTGATTCAAAACCACAGGAAGACCATGAGCCATCTTCACGATTTCTCGTCACCAAGCCTCCCGGTGATTCAAAACCACAGGAAGATCAGAAACAACCGCCTTCTAGATTCTCAGTTTGTAATACTAAAGGTGATAATGCAGTGCCAGGAGAGAACCAAGAACATTCTAGATTTTCAGTCTCAAGGAAACCACAGGAAGACCAAACCTTAAAGAACCGTGCAGATAGCTTTTGGGATTTCTCAAGCGACGACGCGGTTGATGCTAAACCTGAAGACGCGCAGCAAAAATCTCCCAGCAGAACTCCCAGTGTTGAAGATGTACTGCGTTTACACGATCAAAGTAGCGGCGAAGTATACATATGAATGCACCCTGAAATCGTTTCAGTGCGTCTTGGTCCCGGGACATCTCSTTCGTTAGGAGTCGAAAAGGGTCTGGTACCAATTWGCTCTAGAGTACAMATGCGAGTTTAATTAATGCGAAGAAATGACGCAACGGTTTTGAGGTCAATATTTATATTTTTGGAGCAAAAACACACTATGACATCGAGACGGAACTATTACATACAAACCCGTGAAAATGTAGACAGAGTTAGGTCGTTGAACCCGTGAAACAAAATCCAACTGTTGAATTGTGACAGTCAAATTGACACAATAGTATGTCAGAGGTATATTATTATCCGTTTCACGGGTTTAGGGCTTCACTATTGTTAAAAGAAGAAGTGAACTAGTTTGATTGACGTTGTTCTCTCCTCAAGGAAAAAGCATCGCGGGTGTGTACGAAATCCCGATGACTCTATTATCGTTATAGCTAGTAACAATTTTGGAGTGAAGCTTTTTAACGATTTTTGACTATACTAGACATCATTTTATTTAATATTTTATGGCAATGTTTTCTAAGGTATGTTGTGCCCTGATTGATATAATGTTTTGCAAAAAGGAAATTCTGAGGGAGGGGTACGTCTAAGAAAGGAGTCGCAAGTTGCCCATACACTCCTTTCAAAAAAATACACATTCGGCTTCAGGAAAGTAGTTTCTTACTTTAGGAAATTAGTTTTCTCGCCCGTTAAAGAATCATAACCACCCGTCGTACCTTGCGCGCTCGCATTATTGTTTACATACGTTTAATGCGTCAAGCATACAATAGATTATAGATTGATAGTACCTYTGTGGTACTTGGTTAATGTTATTTCTGTCCAAACTGTAAGGACGGAAGACGATTGGCGCTCACTTTAAGAAATCCTACAAATCCGCCATTTTCGTGTCCACCTAAAATGGCGCTTCGGTTTGCAAGGTACGGCGGGTGCTTATGATTCTTTAATGTTGTGTTTCTCTTCAGCCTGTTAAATCGAAGGCTTCTTACCTTAAAAATATAGAGATTGACGTCATATGACGTCACAGTGGCAATTTAGTGTACCCCATCAATCTTGGATGCACCCCTAGTTGCTATGCCAAGTATATAGTCCGGCACAGTTGGTTATGCAATGTGGTAGAGACACAAAGACGTATTTTAGACCGTCAGTTTTTTTTTTGTAATTTTTGAAGAGTTAATAACAGAGATATATCGTTTGTATAAAAATCTATTTCTTATTTTAATTTTGTATATATTTTGGAACTATGCCGAACTATGATTTTGTATATATTTTGGAACTATGAATGC